TGTGTGTGTGTGTGTGTGTGTGTGTGTGTGTGTGTGTGTGTGTGTGTGTGTTTGTGTGTGAGTGTGAGCGTATGAGTTGGAAAAAAGAGGACCCATTTAAAGGGCATTAATTTATTTATCTCTGGAACAATTTCAACCAAACTTTTTTTTTTTAAATATCAATTAAAGGGACGTCTCATTTGTTAATATAAGGAAAATCAACCTACATGTTCGAAAAATATTTTGTTTTTAAAATGTCAAACAAAACTGAGAAAATGGCAAAACTTTGCATCTTTTTAAATACCTGTATTGTGAGCTTTGAAGAAAAAAATTATACAAATAAACGCAGGGAATGCGATTGCCGTTTAAGTTTAAGTTGTATACTCCAGGTGTTGACCATCTTTCATCTGAGAAGCTCGAACACGCCTAAGAACATTTTTAATAACAGTGTGGCATGTTTCTGGATTGATCTTTAGACACCCTGTTCAACATTCAGTTTCAACTGCCCGATTGTTGTTGGTTGTTCCGTAGACGATGTCTGTCAAAAAAAACAAAAAACAACCAAACAAAAACAAAAACACGAAAGGAAATAATTGAGGGCGTTCAAATCGAGAGATTTGTAAGCTTATTACGTTATATAGCGTCCCCCAAACCTTTCTAGCTTTCTTGCAAGGGCCAACTCTTGACATGTGGGGTGTGGCCCCTTCTCATTGGAACAACAGCAAGGTTCCTCAACAGCATAATAAACACCTTCTCCTTCCCTAACTTCTCCTAAACTCACTGAGAACGGTGCAATCCATTTTATGTGACTGGCGGTCGTGTTTTTTTAATAATAATAATAGATAGCATTTGTATAGCGCATATCCCCGCTCAGCAGCAGGCTCTATGCGCTTTACACTATATTATTACCCCAGCAGACCATAGAACACTCCGAAACATTCTCAGCCCTAGTGAAACCAGAATCACGTCCCGGTAGCTGAAAGTTTTTAAGACATAACGTTTAGCGATTTACCCAATGTTGATTTTTTTTTTAAACACTTGATATTTTTCGATCACCTTTATTAGATGATTCATTTAAACGATACGCATCCCTTTGGTTAAATCAATTTTTGAAGTTTTGTTGAAATTAGTATAAATATGACTGAGTTATTGCTTTTTAAATGGGTCCTATTTCCAGACACCCTTTGCATGTAGTACCTATGAACGTGTGTAGGTGTGTGAGCATATGATGCACACATACTTATTTTATGTGTACGGATGTATATGTATGCAAAGAGAGAGAGAGAGAGAGAGAGAGAGAGAGAGAG